TCTCCTGCTGAGTTATATTTTGGGCAAGATCTAAGATTGCCTATCGATTTGTTGCGTGGGTCTCCGCCTGTCGTTGATAGTTATAAATTAAGTGAAAATCATGTTATAAATTTACGGGAAAAAATAGATCAAGTTCACCAACATGTTAGACAATTGATGGCAATTAAAAGCGATAGAGTAAAGGCGTTTTATAACCGAAAAACAAGGAATTTGTCTTTTGAAGCGGGATAAAAAGTTTGATTTTATAATCCTCGTCGGAGCAAAGGCAAAGCTCCTAAGTTACAAAATTTTTGCGAAGGTCCATATGAGATTGTGAAAAAGATTAGCGATGTGGTATTTGGTATTCGGAGGTCTAAGAAACATAAAAATAAAGTAGTTCATTTAGATAGATTAGCTTCTTTTTATAGTAGAGATTGATTTGTTATCTAGTGGAAACGTTTTTGAGCCTTGTATCTGGTATTTGTTTTAGTCATGAAGATTTTAATCTTAAGGAATTTACTGCGGTGTTTTGTTTGTTAATTTTAGTTGTTCTTGATAAAATGTCTGGAGTTTTGGTGGAATATTTTCACTCAAAATTCAAGAGTGAATCTGACTCAACAAGTTTTTGAAAACATCTGGAGACTTGGTGTACATCTGGAATTGAATTTTGAGAAAGCCGCTTTACCCACGGTTTTTGATCGTGGTTTTCTCGTGGGGCATTGGACGAATGCCAAGGCGGAGACTTGGGGTGTTTTCGCAAGAAAACGTTGGGTCCATGGATAATACCCCCTCCTTGTCCGAAGATCAAGAGAGAAGGGCACAAGAGAGTCCGAACATCTGGTACTATCCCTCATTGATTAAGGAGAAACATAGAGGAAGAAATTAAGACATGAAGGATTCTCATTGACGCAGTACGGTAACATGGACAGGAGTCCATGGTAGTAGCGTCGTGGTCCTTAGAAGCGTCCTGAAATTGGGAACTGATACGTCGCAGTACGGTAACATGGACAGGAGTCCATGGTAGTACAGGAAGCGTCGTGGTCCCAGGAAGCGTTTTGGAAATGGATCCTATGTTGACGTCGTACGTTAGCACGGGCTGGAGTCCGTATTCGTAGTACAGGAAGCGTCGAGGATCTTGGAAGCTGTATTTCAATTGTCGGGACGACAATTTTAAAGAGGGGGCAGTGTTACGCCCGTGTCTTAATGCGTGCTTTTAGCGCTCTGAACGTACATCTGATTTTCTGTTGGCAACGAGTCGTAAACAACAGATGATCAGCGTTGACAGATAAACAACGGGTTTGAAAGATTCTCTCTGGGGCGGTCGAGTCGTCGTGACGTGCGCGACGGTCTTTAACGAGAGAGCTTGAACCTGCGAGTTACATGTGCTTCCTTGTAAATAGCAAATATAGTTGAAGTTGTTTTCCTTTTAACGTTGTCTCATTTTATTTCCCCGCGCGAGCTTAACAATATTAATATATTAATATCTGTTAATATATTAATATCTTTTAGCAACTAATATATGCTTGGAAAGGGATGAACAATCGGAGAAGGTTCTTTTGAATCAAGGTTTTTTCTTCATTCGATCGCAGAAGAAAATGTATCAAAATAATTGGTCAACGGCGCTGTAATTGGAGTAAATCTTCTTAATTCGATGACGATATTATTTGAATCAGTTGATTACAAATCAATTGAACAAGCGTTATTTATCCATGTTCTCAAAATGTTGTATGAAATGAAATAAAATAAAATTTCACTTGAATAGACATTCATTGAATATCACCATGTAATGAATGATTATTCACTCGAAACAATAATGAAAATTTCGCCATTCAGAATCGTAAGAACGAATGTTTCATTTAAGTTCAGTGATTTCTGATTCCATACGAATGATTATTTCAAGCGATTCGAGTGAACAAATGTTTTCAAAAACTTGTTGAGTCAGATTCACTCTTGAATTTTGAGTGAAAATATTTACTCGACGATTCAGAGTGGAGGATCCACTCTACAAGAAAAAAATGCTATTGCATTAATTATATCAATAGAATTAGTGAACAGCTCCACAATTGGAGTAAATCTTCTTGATGCAATGTTATTGAAATCACATCATAGATCATGCAAATATATCATATATCTAATACATTATATCATACATCAAACTGACACAACATACATTATTTTAATAATTCGAGTATTAGTTCCGATAATATTGCTATTGAATCAAGATTTATTCCGATTACAGCGCTGTTGATTATTATAATTCTATCGATATAATAATAATTGTTAATGTGGAAAGGGGAAAGGAGAACTTCAACGCCAAGAAGATTATTCACGTCCTCACTTTCGACAGGCAGCGTCCTTTTTTTCGTAATAAATGTACAGCTTTTATTTTTCTTTTGAGCTATCGTTGTGTATCCAATATAATCATTTCTTAACTTAGTAGATACATATAAGTATCTATATTTTCTGTGTTCTCTCTCTCTCTCTCTCTCTCTCTCTCTCTCTCTCTCTCTCTCTCTCTCTCTCTCTACCTCTCTTATGTCCGTAGCGACGACGGCACAGAAGAAAATTGTACGTTCGTGTAACATAACGTCCTGCTGTAATGATAATGTATAGCGACGGAACGAGAACTTGTCGTTACACGCATGGAACACGATTAAACGACGGACCGTTTCAACTTCGTCCGATGGGAAATTATGCAGATAAAATCGATTAATCTCCTCTTAGCGAATCTCCGTAAAAAGGTTCGTTCAGAATTCGTTATGTCGATACATAGTTAAAAGACTTGCGTCTCTTCGGGTTTCGATAGAATGCATATATATGCAAAACAATAGGTACAATTTCAACTTGCACGTATCACGTGACCGATGTCGATGACAAATTAAGCGATACCCTCTATATATTCATAAAAGAATGTACACCAGCGTATGCGCCCGAACGCCGGGGAATTAAGTCGTCAGAGGCTTCGCATTGCAAAATGCGTGTACTTGTATAAAAAATGTACAATTTTTTGCGACACAAAATTCAAATCGTCGTCATCAGGAGTGGGTGAAGAATTGGCGTCCGAGTAAAACAATTAACGTTCATTTGCGATTATTTAAAAATCGGAATCTGCGATGGAGGGATTCTGCTAAAGAAAGATAACTGCGCGCGCGCTCGAGAATGAAAGAAGAGTGTGTATCTCTCTAAAGTCGGCCCTCAAAGGTAAGTAAATGCTTGCGGATAAACGCTCCAGAATTGTGTCCGCCGCGGTATGAGAGTCTTCATCTAATTCTTCTTCCGACTCTTCTTCATCATCGGAGCGTGCTAGGTGACTCGTTCCAATCACAAAAATCTCACTGGACACTCGAACGATCTCATATCCTATTGACGACGCTTTCAATCGCGCTCCCCTCTCTCCTCAGCTCGCTCCTCTGCTCTCGCTTTCATTCTGGTGATGAACGCTTGACCCTTACTTTTCCTGAAATTCTCATATGGATCGTTCAGGTTGATACCGACTCCCTTATATTGATCGTTTTTATCGCGAATCTCGCCGCCGGAGATGGGCGCCTCGATGCCTTGCTCATTCGCGCCGAGACCCGCGCCACCCCAGCCCATCTTCTTTAGCAACTGATGCCCTTTATTGCTCTCATCGAGACTGATCTCCTGCGGGGCCTTGCTGTACGTAGAGCCGCTGAAAACAACGCAAAAAGTCGCTCAATGGAAAGTCTCCAAATATCGCTAGAGAATTTGAACTACACGTCACGTTGGGTGACGCTATTTACTGATTGTTAAAATAAAAGGAAAGCTTTAGGAATATTGCACAAATGTGCTCAACCGGTTGCAAGTATCATTTTATGGATGTATATCCTTTTATAATATCCTACAAAAATCTTGGGCATACGTTTTCTCGCTTCTAACGTCATGAGTTAAAATGGTCGCGGAGAGAGAGATGAAGACCCTTGAGGCTCAGACACAACGAAAGAAATAACAAGGAATTAAATATAAGGAATTAAAAATAAGATATTATAAATAAACTATAATTTAAAATACAATAAAAGGAACAGAAAATAGGATATGAGAACGTTTTAAAACGAAAAAATTACCATATTTACCATATATTTTCTAATGAATCTCTACTGTCAGTATTTTTATTTCCTGATAATTGGTTGATTCGACTGATCTTCGTTTGTATAATGATTAAACATTTTAAAGATTAACTATCAGTCAACTATTAAGTCCTACGAACACACCAATTGTAAGGAATAGAATTTCGACAATCTACCTAATCCAAATTCTCTTATTGTGAATCGAAGCATAATTGTCCACATGTCAAAATTTAATTCCCTGTTCCTATAATTCCTTGTATTTGAATCTTTGTTCCTTATTCCATCGTGCCTGAGCTCTTAAGGTAGAACCCTAACAAGCACCGTTTCCTCACGAAGATTTCATCGTGTCGAAGAAGAAGAGAAAAGAAGAGAGCAAAAGTTCCGAATGAAAACTAACTGAAACGCGTGGACTATAGTGGGAAAATACTGATACAGTTTAGTAGATGGTTAAGACTTACAGGAAACTCGGAGGCGTTGGACTCCTGTCCTGCCTATCCATTCTTCTGTCAGGGCTGCGATCCTTATTACTGTTCCTCCTTCGCCTACTTCTGCTGTTGTGATTGCTGTTGCGACTGTTACGCCTGTGATTGGTTGCGGGCGACCTCGATCTACTTCTGCCACGCGAGCGCGAGCGCGACCTGCTGCGCGACTTGCTCCTGTAGCGTTTCTTTGGCGGACTGGGGCTCTTGGATCTCGGCCGTAGGATCGGCGACGGAGATCTGGATCTCTGTCTGATGCCCGCGGCTATGTCCTCCTCCTTCCGCTTGCGTGCGGAATTCTTCGCTTTATAGTATTCGTACAGTCCCAACTTCTCCCAACCGTCACTGGAAACACGATTGAGAATACGGTTCTCGCGATTGTTCTCCCCTCCTGAGGCGTTCCGTAATACGTTGCGCGTTGTTGACGATACCAACCTATCTCTCGGAGAATCGTGATTTGGTGGCGCGTAAAAAGCTTCGACGGCGGCGACTAAGCGGTCGCTCGGTGGTGCGGGAGGTGGCAATCGTATCGCATCGGGATCCAACGGCTTATACTCCCCGTCCTCCAGCTTGATCAAAGGCACCATCAAGCCGGCGGGGAGCTCGAAGTAAGGCATACTAGGCATCAAATCTTCAACGGAAGGCTCGTGGATAACGGGCGCGGGCCCAAAACCCGGCGGCGGCTTCGAGAAGTCCGGCAGTGGAACGTTGCTGAATGGCGGCGGCTCATTCGACGGCGGTACGCCCCATCCCGGCGGCGGTTGGCTGAAGTTCACGTCCGTGCCTATCGCACCCGGCGGCCCGGGATGACTAGGTGGTATCGGCATATTCTGCTGATTCTGCGAAGAGAGACGACCATTCGCGTGAGTGACGGAACGAAGACGAGAAAAGTGAAGGAGAAATTCGTTCGAAATCAAGAAAATATCGAAGGCTCTGAAGATGAACGACCTGTATAGTCCTAAATCAAGTACCAATAAGACTCGCTTCATCGTCAGATATAATCTTAGATAGTTCGGCCAATATTATCAGCTTCGCTAAAGTCAGACCGCCGAACACAGCCCGAATAAGTTTCTTATCAGCGGAAATTGATCCGGGCCAGACTTGGATCTGACCACCGAAGCGGATGTAGATCGGATTTCATAATGTATCGGATTGGGTTTTGTCAGGCCTTGATTTGCAGGATTATGATTTTATGATTCAAGATAATTTTCAACCTTAGCGGGAAGATCAGATTGTTCGGCAATGTAACCGCACGTGTCGGATTTATTTTCCAGATTTTCAACGCAAATGAATAGAGTGATACAGTAGTCACCTACCAGGTCAAACTGATCTTTTATCTTACGGACATTCTCTCAACCCACTGACCCCATGGAACCAAATATACTCTTTCCACGAGGCTGCGTTAAATAATTAATTAATCAGCTAATCAAATAATAGACGTTGTGACCTCATATGTGTGAAGCCAGTAGCTAGTGGGTTAATATTGTTTTCCCTTAAATTTCCCTGATCTTGTAGAAAACTTTTAAGGTCGTATCGACTATTCATAGTCAAGTCTTATATTTAAGATCGTCTCGAATCCAGCTTCAGATGCTGTATGAACTCGTTTCATTAGTACTACGGAACCAAGATAATATCGTTTTTAGTAAGTGTTACGAAAAATAATGCCTCAGCGAGAAGTCAAACTTGGACCGCTCCACTCGCCGGATCGAGATCTCATTTTCCCGCAAAGATCGAAAAGTATCGCGCCCAGCATTCAGCGACGGCTCTGACCTGAATTTTTCATTGACTACATTTACACGATAACGTTAATCCGATATTAATTTAATGATAACCGTAGTTAGTTACTAAAATTCTTGCATCCGATTAATGTATTCTTTTAGATCTAAAAGAATATTCTAATTACATATAAGAGCTCACTCTAACTACAGTTGTCACTAAACCAAATTAACGTTGCTATATAATGGGACTCGTTGACTTGGAATAAAAATTGAATATAAGAAAAAACAAGGTTATTACTATTTGGGGTGGCGGCGGCGGCGGCGGCGGTGCTTTCAATTGCTGATCTATCGCTATCTTTTGTTGCTCGATATTCTGGATCTGTCTGAGCGCATGTGTAACGAACGCCTGATGCTGTGCCTGGTAGTTATCGAACGTTTGCTTCGTCGATGTCGTAATAGGCGTGATCGCGTTGGCGTACTGCGCTACCAGACTGGCCTGATACTCCGACCAAGAGGCGCTCGGCTGCTTCAGTTTATCTATGATCCCCTCATCGAAGTAATTGTTCTTAGACTCCCACAAACTCAACAGTTTATTTAGCTTGTTGAGTTGCTCCTCGGATGCGGCTAGTGAAGTGTTACAGAACATGGGGACAACGACACTTTCCATCGCCTTGCGAAGATCCATCGACTTTTTTCTTGCACTGGAGAAGTTTCCAATTAAGTATCACGCACAGCCGTGACTTACACAGTGTAACATGTTAACTTATGACACATTGTTGTCTAAGTCCCGGTCTACAATAGATACTTTAAGCTCTAAGCCTTAAGAAATTGGCCGGTCACAATCGAATTATAGAAGAAAAGTCAATTATGATTGGTCAATTTCTTAAATCTTACGCCTTAAATTCTCATTGTAGACCCCGCTTAACGTAATTATAAAATGACAAATGAGTGCAATCGGCATCATCGCTAGTATACCGTGCCACTTCCTAGACAAAAAATCGCACGATTTTCAGCCTTACATGTAACCTATAAAGTTACAGATCGCACGTAAGAAACTTTAATTATAATTTATAAGGTTATAATAACTCTAACTGTAACAGTTTTGACCTTACGTGTATATATGCGAAGCTGAAAATCGTATAACTTTCGGAGGAAACAATACAGCATACGTGATGCCAACTGTACAAATCTGTCGGAACGATCGGGAAATTGTAAGAATTGAATCAGTAAATATACAAAATTATCCGGAGAACCGGGGGGTCACGAGAGTCACGGGAATGAAAAAAAAAACCCGAGTACGATTATTACAACAGAGAAATTGCGCCGTGCAATCGATTCGTCTCGTGACATGTTATACTAACCAGTGATGCAGAACATCGTTCACCAGATAAATAATGTGTAGCTTATGGCTAAAAGTTGTCCCCTGGATTACTCTGAAAGAAACACAGCAAACTATAGACGTACGCTTTAATCGATCGATCGATTCGTTGTTCGATACGTACTTCTTCAGCAAATGATCGGCGACCACTTGATTGCTCGGCGGCGTGAGCGAATTCTGCAGTATCCAGGCCTTTCCCGCGCTTATGCTGTCCTTCGTGCAGCTATCGATGATCGGTTGCAGCACCGTGTCAAACGCAGCCAGATCTGTGTTCGTGCTCTGCGCATTGCTTTGCAGCGCCGTTTCCTGCGCCTGCCTCACGGCGTCCTCAACTCTTCCCTGCTGTTGCGCCATCAGCGCAGCATGCTGTGCAGCCAGGTTCTGTTCAGATTGTCTGACTTGGTCCTGCAACGTCGTCTGCTGCGACTGTAGATTCGCCAGTTCATTCTGGAGCCACGCGGGTGGGCCGCCGATGTTAACCGTTTGCGGCGCGACCCCGGCGATCGGCGGCGGATTCACACCCCCCATGCCGCCAGGGACTGGTCCGATTCCGGGCGGCCCTGCATTTCCCGGACCCCCGATCTGTCCAGGCACGCCAGGCAAAACGGGACCGCCTGGTTGGCCGCCGACCGGTCCGATTCCGACCACCGGATTTATGCCATTGTTTTGTTGTGTACTTAGACCGGACGCGAGATTGACGTTATTCAGTGGCTGCGAGACGGTAGCGGCTGTTTGCTGCTGCTGCTGCGAAACGTTTAAACGTGGGTCTGCATTTTGCATTGGATTTATTCCTTTTTGCTTTAAAACTGTAAACGAATGACGGTGGATTATTGTGAGATGCCCTGAGTCCTTTCAATCGATATGATTTGAGAAAAATTTCTATACAAATAGTCCGATTTGTTTTACGCTTTTTTTTTATTCGCTTTGCTTTTTTCTATTTTTGTTCTGCCGAGTCTTATCTTGTTACCAAGAGAATTCTTGGCCTTTCAACGCGAGAGAAGCACGTATAAGCTCTTTCGGGAGCGCTATGCTCTGTTTATTTTTTTGTTCCCTGCTTTATTTTTTCTTTCGCGTTTTTCTCTACGTTTTCACGGTATTAGAGTATATACTTTATGGGGGACGCCATTTCGGAGCCGGTTCGCGTACTCCCCCGTACAGATTGAAGCAATACATCGACAATGTATTAGACTCCGTATTCAGATAAGCTCCAGCAAGAATCTTAAAACAACGTCTTCTTGAAATCACCATTGCCAAGGAGAATCATAAGGATGTTTTTATATAGTGCAAAAGCGTTCCGCTTAACAAATAGCGATCCCAAAATCTTGTAAGGAAGCTTTTTCCTATCCGACGGAACAATAAGCTCGCAATGATGAAATCAGACACTGTTTCAGCGGTATATGTCACTTTTTCAAAGTCATTCCTTCGCTTGTCGTACAAAGCATGTCGCCGTTTCTTATGTCTCTCGATCGCCGTAGCTGTTTAAGGGGAATATGTCCCACTTACTGGCTTGCTCCGTCGTCACTTTGTATTGATAGTAGTTGAAGTGCTCCCCGCCGAACAGGAAGCCGAATTTCGGGTTGTCCTTCTGCTTGTTCTTAGTCATCTGCTCGAATTCGGGCCCGTTGCGAGCAACAAACTGCGCCAGTTTGTCTATGATGTTCCGTAACTCTGTATCTGAATATTTCCGGAAATCGAGAATCAGGTTAGGTGAGCGATAAATTAAACAACGATAAAACACAAATTTACAATCTGATCTAACTTTGGCTATTTCCTCGCTAACCCGTCGACTCTTATAGAGAAAATCGAAGAGATGATGAGAATTAGAAATAACTGTTTACGAATTCGCAGCCCGATCACAAATCATCGCAAACTTCCTCTCTGCGTTATCTGCGCGTCTATTCGTTGACGATCAGATCGCCGTTTGATTGTAAAACCCACACACACACACAAGTAACCTAGTAGATTAAATAGCTTTACGCTCCAAACCCGCCTAATATTACCGTGTGTAAAACAGAATTTTCTCGACGAGAGCAACGAAGACACAGCGAACGCGACGACTATTGTGCTCACTTACGGCTTACATGCGCGACATACTCAACTCCCGGGCGAGACCGAAAGAGAACGTGCCGCGGGAACGCACAGCCGGACCGACAGTGTCTATCTCAGGACGGTGCGCTCACCTGCAGGGGCCTGGTCCATCGTAGCGACTTCTCGGCCCACAGATCGCGTCGAAACTGCCCGGTGTGTGTGTTCGTTCCTCTCGTCGGCGGTCGTTATATTGTACGTGAACGGAATACAACACTGTGGAGCATTATCTCTTCACGGCGTACTCGATAACGCGCTCGACGTCGCCATTACGATCCCCGCGGAGCGGCCCATGCCTGCATTGCCAACTTACTTATTTTTCGCGATATTACGATGGAAAGGAGAACACGGGGTGGGGTGAAAACGAACAGAACAAGTGCGGAGAGTGCAAGCTGCGCGCGCACTCACTGAACCACCGTCGTTGGACACTGAGCGGCCTGGCAAGAGGAAGCCAGAGTCTGCCGTCTTCCATTGAATTAAGTAATATTCTGGAATGAGCACCGACATAGTGGGCGCCATGGCCTGTAATGGCTTCTGCCCACAGGACACGGAAAACTGTCGCGTGGCGGAAGTTCATGCGGTAGCCAATAAATTTTTAGTTGTTACCGAAAAACGGCATATTGATTGGCTATCGCGCGACTTCTACCGCGTGGCAAGCATTAGGTCTGTTCGTTTTCGCTGCGCCGCTGAGCAACTGCGGAAGTGCAATACGTTAAAGCGAGATAAGTATATGTTTTCTCACTTCAACTTATTCAACTAATTCAATGGCGCAGCGAAAACGAACAGACCTAGTGCCGCAACCTGTCCAATCACAGCCGAATGTGAAGAAAATAATTAACTGATTGGTCAATTTCTAAAGGCTTACAGATTAAATTCTCATTGTAGATCCCGCTTTATATGTGGTACGCTGTCGATTTTTTAAGCTTCATTGGACACAGAACATTTAATTCTGCGTAGTAGAAAACGCGGAACGTTTCTGATTGGTTACGTGGTTATGCATCATACGGAAAATATATGCCAAGGAACTCTACCTTAACCTAGCGGCCCACGATGCTTGTTTTTGTGCTGGATTGCTTGTTGGATAAATATACTGCATTTTGATTGTTGTATTGTCATCCATTTTTGAAAATGCACCAATCAGGACGTAGTATTTCTATCCAACGAGCAATCCAGACGAAACAAGCATTGCCTGCCGCTGGCTTTAGGTATTCTCAGTTTGTTTACGAATGGCGTTGGTTGAAATTCTGTATGCAACCTATTCAGCAGAAAAATATTTATATCTAAGACATAGACACCTTTACACCTGCAATTTTAAGTTGTATCTAAGTTATATTATTTTCGGACGCTCATAAAATATTTTCAAGACAACATTAATCGATATATTTCATTGAAAAAGGAATCTCTGTAACATTTGCACGCACAACTATGACCGAGGATACAGAAATCTTACAGATATTTTTTAGATATCTTCGTGATATCTTAACGATCGAACACTTAGATATTCAGCCATTTTCTAGACATCTTTGTCATATATTTTGCTGTGTAGATGTAATATGATATATGATAACACGATAGATGATATGTAATCAAATGTTTACTTTCACAAATTTTTCAGTTTGTAGTGTTGGTCTGTTCTTTTCTTCCCATACTTCTACAATAAACTCGGATGAAATCGGAGAAAGGAAACCCTTTGTTTGAAGTTCACAAATACGGTCTCTGATCTTTTAATTCTCTTTGTTTGGCGACATAGTTGTTTCATTCAATTAATTATTTTATTTTTCTTATCACATGACTTCCTCAATATTTCCATGCATTTGACTAACATCTTTGGTGACATATTTTTCTAACATCTTTAGTGACATATTTTTCTATTTTTGTGATTTTAAGTCACCTGTGTAGTACAATTGTTTTCTTGAAGGAGTCCTTTCTGTGTCTTGATTGAAATTTGCATTACAAATGATATGTCAGATAATGTAATTTTCTTCATGTTAGCCATGCTAAAACCATAATATTTTAAATGTACATAATATAATGAAATTACAGATTACAAGATTCAACATTATCACATATTTAATCATATATGAAATACTGA